TGTTCACATGGAAATAAGATCATTTTCTGTCTTTATCTTCCATTTGCCTTTCCCTTACAGAAGGAAGACCTGTATGCTGACATTTACATCTAGTTCCTGAAAAAAAAATAGTTGGCTAATTATAAACTTACATCTTGTATTTTTCAGGCCATGAAGAGATAATCATCATTTTAGGCTGGTTAACACATAAGTTTAATCTGGTGCCTGTTTAATAGATTCTGTTTTTTTTAGTGCCTCTAAACATAGAGTCCCAAGCCAGTGCCTACAGCCAGGCACCACTAGAGAGGCTCACCAGGAATATTCCAGATAACTGACATTGTTTAGTCTTCTGGACCGTAAACTAGATTTAAAGCCCGGGGTCCCAGTGTGTCTTGAGAGGTTAAAAAAATGAGCTGACACACTCATTTTTCTCATTTTAATTAATGAAACATACTCAGTTATGGTCTGAATTATATTTGAAAGCTCAGAAATCCTATCAGCAGTCTGTTAGTGTTTACAAGAGTCTTGGTGATCTTGCCTGGGAAGTTTTGAAGAGAAATACATTACAAATACTTCAAGATAAAATGTTCTGGGTGGTGTGTGTGTGTGTGTGTCTGTGTGTGTTGAGGTTTGAACATAGGTCCTCCCACTCCTGCTTGGCTTTTTCCACTCAAGGCTGGCACTCACCACTTCAGCCACACTTCTACTTCAGGTTTGTTTGTTTTTGTTTTTTTTCTTGTGGTGTCCCCCATCCTTAATTGTAGATAAGAATCTCACCAGCACTGGCTGGCTTCATACTGACTGTGATCCTGAGATCTCAGCCTGGAGTAGCTGGGATTACAGGCATGAGCCTCATCAATGTTTGTCACATGCAAATGTCTAAAAGATGTTGTCCAGCCAAGATTTTAGCTGAGGAGTTAATTGTTGATTCCGCCAGAAGAAAGGGAGCTCTGTCTGTAACCTTAGTACATCATAGCTAAAGTAGGATCTGCCATTTAGCAAAATGCAGACTTGCTAATCGTTTACCCCTTCAGGTGATGATTTTTCTGTTGAGCACAACTCTTTGTGTTTGTCATAGTAGCTCAACTACTGAGCCGCTCGGTCCTCCTAGTTTGAGCCTGTGAAGTACTGATGGGACTCAGTTCTTTCCTGGCTGCTTCTTCTCCTCTGCAAACCCCTTTCTCCTCAGGAGGAGCTTGCTTTAGCCAGCTGGCCAGGCCTGACCCCATGGCCCAAAGTCATCGTCACATTCCGCCATCTTCTCTACTGTGGTGCACACTTGGGAGTTTCAGGGCTCACCTTCCTAGGCCACGTTCCTGCATCTTCCTCTGGTCACAGGGCCTGAGTGTGGCCTCTTTCCGTCCTTGTTTTGATGGTAAATCCTCGAGCTCTGGGATTTTCTAACTGTGCTGAGTATGTGTTCTTAGAGAGGCTAAGGCATCATATAGTCACAGCTGCTGCCACTGCAAAGCAGCTCTGTTCATGAGTCAGTTTGAGGGTCATATCTCTTGTACGGCTGACCATAGGTCTGAACATAGCAGGGTCTTCCAAATGGGTTTTCTGCATTTTGCAGCATTCAGCTTGGTAATTGTCAAGTTGAATTGCTTTCCCCAAAATATCGTTTTCTTTAGCAAGGTACGAGCTTTTAATATGTCAAAATTGCATTCAAAGGTTGGTTAAGAGCTCAAAGCGCTGCTGCCTGCTTCTAAATTGCAGGCTCCGAGAGAGATCTTTTGAAAGGGGAGAGTGGGTGGGGAGGTGGGAGGAAGAGCTGGAAAGAGCACTCCCCGGAAGGAGGCGGCTTTCGCTTTCTGGAGGAGGGGAGCACAAAGGGGAGCAGGCTGATTAGGCCCAGTGTTGTTTTTATTGTTGGAACAATTGCTGTGTTAAACATAAGGAGTGAGCAAATGACTACAGTAGTTTTCTTATAAAAGTAAGTTCCTTTAAAAGCAGACCTCTTAGAAGAAATTACTTCTGGAAGGTTTGTTTTGTTCAGCCTCTTGCTATCAGTGTTGGTCAATGCTGGGCATGACTGGATCACTGGATCACTTTGCACAGTCCTTGGGGGAAAGGAGAAGACCACGGGACTGCTGCTGCTCTTCTGGCTGTGGCTTGAACCTGGCAAGAGTTGAGTGGTGGTCTGCGTCCTCTTCCTTGTTCAGAGCCAAATGAAGGCCTGCTGATGTGGATCTTGGGCAAGAGTCAGGGTCACAGCCTAGTGAAAACCTGTGTTGCTGGCTGAAGGCTAGTGGGAATCTGGGGAAAACCATCGCTTCTGCTGTAAGCTTCCGGCAAACCAGTGTGTGTATACATTTTTACGTACAAATGTGGAAGCTTTGTTTAATCTGTCACATGCAGGAGAATGTGGGTTGGCTTCCCCTCTCTTCCTCCCCACCCTTCTCTTTTTGGTGTGGGGGACTTGTTGCTGCTCTTCTGGCAGTGGTTTGAACCTAGTGAGAGGAGTTGTTGGGCTGGCTGGGGGACGGGGGGGAGCAGCGGTTCGAACCCAGGGCCTTGCATATGCTAAGTACATGTTACACGGAGCCTCCACTCCAAACCTGGCTTCCTGATTTGTGCCAATATATGTATACTGTAGCTTTGTGTAATAGGAGCATATCTCCCCTCTAAAGCTGCTTTTTAAAAAAAATTTTTTTTGGTTGGTTGTGGGGCTTGAACTCTGGGCCTGGGTGCTGTCCCTCAGCTCTTCAGCTCAAGGCTAGCGCTCTGCCACTTGAGCCACAGCGCCACTTCCACTTTTCTGAGTGGTTTATTGGGATTAGAGTCTCATTGACTTTCCTGCCTGTTCTGGCTTTGAACTGCCATTCTCAGATCTCAGCCTCCTGAGTAGATAGGATTATAGGCATGAGCCACCAGCACCCAGCTAAAGCTGTTTTTTTTGGTTGTTGTTAAATGGTTTCTCCAACTTTGTATTTTAGAAGATTTCCACTAAAAAAAAAGTGCTAGAAGAGTGAATACTCAAATACATTTCACCCAGACAAACAACACACACACACACACACACACATACACACACACACACACACACACACACACACACACACACACACACAGAGTCAGATATCGGGCTTGAACTCGGGGCCTAGGTGCTATCTATCTCTGAATTTTTCTGTTCAAGGCTGCCACTCTATCACTTTGAGCTACAGCTCCACTTCTAGTTTATTGGTGGCTAATTGGAGATAAGAGTCTCCCAAGAGACTTTGCTGCCAGGCTGGTTTCAAACCATGATCCTCAGATCTCAGCCTCCTGAGTAGCTAGGGTTACTTGTGTGAGCTACCAGCTGCTGTCATTTTTTTTTGGGGGGGGTGGGGTAGGAACATCTGAAAGCAAGTGTATGTACAGTCATGACACTTTCCCTGAGCTCCAAAGTGTGCTTGCCTAGGACCAGCTGCTCGCGCACTGCAGTGACCAGCCAAGGAACGCCACTATGATGTGCTCATCTCACTTAATAGGGAACACTAGGTCTCTCTCCAGGTTCTGGGTGGCTGTGGCCATTCCTGCCCAGCAGCTAAGGCCTCCTTGTACCGGGCAGCCTGTCTCCTCAGAGGCCTCTATTCTAGGCTCTTTTCTGACACAGTTTTTTTCTGTTGAGTTCAAGCTGGGTGTGTGTAATGCAGTTTGTAATCAGAATATTTCTTCTGCTTTCCCCATGAATAGTTTCGAGGTTGGCTGCATGTGCAGAGGGCTGGAGAGCCCTCTCTGGCCCCGCCCACCTCCCAGTGCAGGCATATTGCCAGACTGTGTCCTTACTGGCCCCAAGTCCAGGCATTCTAGTAGGTGGTGCCTACTAGATCTTTCCATCATACGGGCACCATGGTGACTCTTGACTGCAGGATACTACTTGGAGACCGACTCTGCTCTGGAATGGGGTCCATTGCAGACCTCTGTCCGAGCGGCTTCCTGACCACATTCCTGGCTGTGCAGAGGCCTTACCTCATCCTGACATTCCTCCCTGACACAGTGTCAGGGAGCTCCCTCGCTGACACACTTTCTCCCTGGCCACTTTTCTTAGTAGCACTGTGGTTTATAATGCTATACCTCGTCTTTCTTTCTGGTGTTCAGACTGGTGGCTGGGGTCCTTTTGGGCTGCTTCCCGGTGTCCTTTCGACATACATGTTCATGTCAGTTCTCTGTGTAAAGAAATGCTTCAGAGATCTGCATGTCGAGTTTGCCTTACCACAACTCATTGCGTCCAGGCTCTTCCAGTGGGTTAGAACTAGGGCTTACCTATATTGTTTTTAATAAAACAAGAATGCTTTTAGTCAGGCACTGATGGCTCATTCCTGTAATCTTAGTTACTCAGTGTGCTGATATCGAAAGATTGTGGCTCAAAGAAAAGACTTGGAGATTCCATCTCTGGCTAACCAGCGAAAACCAGAGCTTAGAGGTTCAAGTAGGAGAGCACCAGTTCTATCAACTCTTTGCAGTCTTTCTTGCCTGCATCTTGCCGGGAGGTTGGTGGGAATTGTGTTAGGCCTGTGCATCCAGTTGAGCAGAGAGGACATCCTCTAAAGTTGTCTTTTTCGGGAGAAGGAGAAGATACTGGTTGTGGGGTTTGAAGTCAGAGCCTGGGCATTGACTCTGAGCTTTTTTGCTCAAGGCTAGCAGCCACAGTGCCACATTTGGCTTTTTGATAATTAACTGGAGATAAGAATCTCACAGACTGGGCTGGGATGTAGCTCAGTGGCAAAGCGCTTGCCTAGCAAGTGCAACGTCCTGGGTTCGATCCCCAGTACCGAAAAAGAAAAGACAAAAAAAAAAAAAAAGAATCTCACAGACTTTCCTGCCAGGGGGCTGGCTTTGAACCACGATCCTCAGTAGCTAGGATTACAGGGGTGAGCCACCAGTGCCCCTCTACAGTTGAGTCTTTGTTCCATGAACATGAGGTAGCTTTCCTTTCTAATGGAAGCTGCGGGTGAGCGGGCATGCATGGAGAACCGCTCCTTTCTCCAGAGAAGAGCCAGGCCCACTCTTCCTTCCTGTCTATGTTCTTTTGACCATAGGCCTATGAGAGGAGGTTCCCTACCTGTCCTTTGATCCCAATGTTCGTGGACAGTGACACTGTGAGTGAATTCAAAAGTGAAGATGGGGCTATTCACGTCATTGAGAGGCGCTGCAAGCTGGACATAGATGCCCCCAGGCTACTGAAGAAGGTGAGTGAGGAAGAGTGGCCGTCTTATAGCTTCTGCCGGACCGGAGGTGTTGATAAAAGCCTTTCCTCTGTACTTCTTCATTACAGATCGCAGGAGTCGATTATGTCTATTTTGTCCAGAAAAACTCCCTGAATTCTCGGGAACGTACTTTGCACATTGAGGCCCACAATGAAACATTTTCTAACCGGGTCATCATTAATGAGCACTGCTGCTACACGGTGAGTGGCCACCCCCACCCTGGGCCGCTGGGGCCTCGCAGCACCATGCCGCTGCTGTGACACCGGCATCACTGCTGTCGGGTGCTGGAAGGAGGTAGCAGCTGTGGCTGGAGCACAGTGTGGTTGCTCTTAACAACCAAGTCAGCCAAGGATGCCTTGATTTGGTTTTAAAGATGACTTCTTCTCCTCCGACCCTAATACTTTAGAAATGTATTTGAAAGACTAAGATACTGTGTTTCTTTTCTTTTTTTTGTTGGTCATGGGGCTTGAACTCTGGGCCTGGGCGCTGTCCCTCAGCTCTTCAGCTCAAGGCGAGCGCTCTACCACTTGAGCTACAGCGCCACTTCCGGTTTTCTAGTGGTTTATTGGCGATAGGAGTCTCACGGTCTTTCCTGCCCGGGCTGGCTTTGAACCTCGATTCTCAGATCTCAGCCTCCTGAGTAGCTAGGATTACAGGTGTGAGCCACCGGCGCCCGGCAATACTGTGTTTCTTTAAGAGTAGAGACCAGTGATAGAGGCCCTGAGTTCAACCCCTAGTACCACAAAAATATAAACGAAGCCAAAAGATTAGTGCTGACAGTCTCTGTCTTCCCGTCTGTATTGCTTCCTCTGATTGGCACAGCTCCTGGCAGCTCATTAGAATAGCCCCGCCTCCTAGCTCTCCCCTTCAGCGGCTTCTGAGCCTCCCTTCCCTCTCTCCTACTCACATTGTTGCTGTCCCTTCACTGTGCCCAAGGCTTTTTGACTGTCTTGCTGCCCCAGACACAGGCAGCTTCCCCAAGGACTTCTTCGTTCCCTCCTCAGCCTTAGCCCACTAATGCCTGCCGTGGCCACTCTAGTGACTGCAGCAGCCTGCCCCGCCCCCAGTCCTCCCTTCCCGTGGTGCTCCGTGGCTGATGGTTAGGCTGTCACCTGCCCCAGGCGGTGCTCTTGCTTTTCCCTAGGCGAGGACCCAGCTCCATGCACCAGCTGAGGGAGTGAAAACCAAGGCTGCTTTTGTAGTCACTTTTGGGACCTGTCATGGCTTTCAACCCCTCTGTAATCCTGCCTGCTGTTTTCCCCATGGCAGCACTGGTAGGAAAGTTTCTCTGGGTTCCCAGTTGGAGGATGAACGGTGTGAAGTAGGTCTTAGTGTTGAGTGTGTTGGTGGAGCTCTTTTCTCTCTCTGCAGGTTCACCCCGAGAATGAAGACTGGACTTGTTTTGAGCAGTCTGCAAGTTTAGATATTAAATCCTTTTTTGGTTTTGAAAGTACAGTGGAAAAAATCGCAATGAAACAGTATACCAGCAACATTAAGAAAGTGAGTCTGTGGGCTCCTAGAGCAAAGGGAGAGGCAGGGCTTGGAGGAGCTCTGGGCGTGGTGTGATTTGGAAGTCAGGGATCCCCCTGCCTGCTCGGGCTGCTGCTTCAGCCTGAAGGGGTTACCTGGTGCTGGTGGCAAGGGCAGCAGTGGAGGTCGGGTGAGGCAGCGGCAGCCAGCTCACAGCACCCTCAGGTTTGCCCTCCAGGTTTGCTGAGGGGAGGAACCATTGTGCTGAGATCCTCCAAAGGTGGACACAGGATCCCCAGCCTTTGAACTGAGCTCCTTGGCTCTTAGGGATGGGGATGGAGAAGTGTTCGCCTGGGATGGTGCACGCCTTTGGAAGGCTTGTTTGATTTCTCAGTGTTTTATTTTTATTTATTTTTATTTATTTATTTTTGGGTCCGGTCCTGGGGCCTGAACTCTGGGCCTGGGCGCTGTCCCTCAGCTCTTCAGCTCAAGGCTAGCACTCTACCACTTGAGCCACACCACCACTTCCGGCTTTTTTCTTTTTGCTTATGTGGTGCTGAGGAATCGAATCCAGGGCCTCAGGCATGCAAGTCAAGCGCTCTACCACTGAGCCACCTTCCCAGCCCTTCTCAGTGTTTTAAAACGACCATATCTACTGGGCACTTGTGGGTGGCTTATACCTGTAATCCTAGCTACTCAGGAAACTGAGATCTGAGGATCACAGCCAGGGCAGGAAAGTTTGTGATACTCTTTATCTCCATTAATTCTTAGAAAAAGCCAGAAGTGGTGCTGTGGCTCAAGGGGTAGAGTGTTAGCCTTGAGCAAAAAAGAGCTCAGGGACAGCGCCCCGGTCGAGAGTTCAAGCCCCAGGACTGGCAAAAAAAAAAATCCAATTAACCAGCAAAATCTAGAAGTGGAGGTGTGGCTCAAATGGTAGAGCTCCAGCATTAAGTTAAAAAGCCAAGTGAGAGCTCAATGCTCTGAGTTCGAGCCTCAGTACTAATACGAAAAGTAGCCATACAAGAATTCCCTCTCTGCAGTATTCCCTAAACTTTTGGAGAGGATGAAATAAAATAACTTTTTTGTGTGTGCCAGTATTGGGGTTTTGAACTCAGGACCTGGGTGTTGCTCCTGAGCTTTTTCACTCAAGGGTGGCGCTCTACCCCTTGAGCCATAGTTCTTCTTCTAGCTCTTTTGGTGCTTACTTGCAGATAAGAGTCTCATGGACTTTCTTGCCTGGGCTGGCTTTGAACCGTGATCCTCAGCTCTCAGCCTCTTGAGCAGCTAGGATTACTGGTACGAGCCGCCAGTGCCTGACTCCAATAACTTTTGTGTGTCAAAGTTCAATTTTATTTTAGTTTTGTAGAGACAGGTCTCACCGCTGTCCAGGTGGCCCTGGATTCAGGGTCTAGGAATCCTGCTGCCTCATGGTCCTGAGTACTTGGACCGTAGGAACACCACATCACAGAATTCAGTTTCTGACAGGGCCTTATGAGCTGGTGAGGGATGAGTGATTTGCATGTTTGACTGTGCCTTAGCTTGTGATTGGTTTCGTCTTAAAGGGGAAAGAAATCATCGAATACTACCTTCGTCAGCTAGAAGATGAAGGTATCACGCATGTCCCTCGCTGGACGCCACCTTCCCTCGGGCCTTCCAAAGAGACGCTGTCATTGAGCAAGAATCTAGCAGTGTCCACGACTGTCATTGTCCCAGATGCTACCCTCGAGGGCCTGGGTGGCGAGGCCCTCAGTAACCCAACTGGGGCGCCCGAGCCTGTGGTGGGGACACCTGACGGTAGGTGTGAGAGACATTTCATTCCTCCAGCACCAAGGGAATCGTGGGGTTCTGGTTTCACTAACCTTTTGCCTTGTCTGCCTCTGCCTTGAACCATGATCTATCTATCTTCTTCCCTTCTCTTCTCTCCCATATATAACTTGGTTAGTCTTGCATTGAGACCAAAGAGTGACCTTTAGTGAAGCTAAGGCAGTAATCCAGCCGCACAGACTTCAGTCATCTTTAGACACTACACTCCCTGTGAAGCCAGCCCTGTCCTGACCAACCTGCGAATGAGGACCCATTCATAACCGCTCTTTTTAGATGGGATGTGCTGATGTGCTAAGGACCCTCAGTTTTGATTTGGTGAACTAAGGACAGAAAAACAGAGTGACTTGCAGGAAGAGGCCGCGGCAGGGGCTGCTTCTGTCTGTCACACAACTCTCCACTTGTTCCACAGAAGGAGCACATTTGATGCTTTCTTCTGCTACTGGAGTTTGAACTGTAGCCTCATATTTGCTCGACTGGTGCTCTACCACTAGAGCTGTGCCTCCAGCCTGGTTTTTCACTAGTTGGTTGGAGATGTGACCTTTGTGCTCTGACTGGCTTTGAATCTTGACCCTCCAGATCTCAGTAGTTATGATTACAGGCATAAGCCACTCTCCCCTGGCTATACTTTGTTAATTGAGTGATACCCTTGTAGAATATTCTGAAAAAGTACACAATATGAAAACATGAATTCTGTCAGTCACTCAGAAACTTATGGCACCAGTATTCCTCTTTCTCTACGTGGTGCTCTGCTGCTAGCCATTTGTTCACCTTCAACAGTTAGCCGGGTTCAGGGTTTATGTTGAATATTCACCTTGTGAGTTTTTCTTCGTTACATTTACTTGTATTTGTTGTGCCAGCTCACCCTTCCCTTGATGTTACTTTTGCATAGAGAAAACCTCACTAGATATTCACTGTAGCTGCTGTCCTATCATGAACAACGCTGAGGTTTTTCAGGTAAAGGAGACTTGATGGTAATCAGAGGAAGGTAATTGAGTTGGAAAGCTTGCCTGTAGATTATCAGTGATCTCATCTAAGGCCAGTCACTGAAGTTTGCCAGGGCAGCTGCTCAAATCTGGCACCCCGGGGCACATGCTCTGCTAACTTCACCAAGAGGACCTTAGGGGCCACAGAACCCAGTGGTCTTTGTTGTAAATCTTGCCATGCATCTTCCCTTGCAGATAAACTGGATGCGGACTACATCAAGAGATACCTGGGTGATCTGACTCCACTCCAGGAAAGCTGCCTCATCAGACTCCGCCAGTGGCTCCAGGAGACCCACAAGGGCAAGGTGAGTGTGGCCTTGTGTGTGGCAGGGCGGTGTTGGTGTCCCATGGGCTGCATAATCACGCCTGACAGCCAGTCTGTCAGTGATCTGTCTGCGTGGCTGGGAGGTGTCCTTCCTGTACAAGGAATTGTAGTTTTCTAAGCTTTAAGAGAATGGTGCAGTTTAGAGACAAGTAAATATGGAGTTACAACGCAATCTTGTATCCAAGGATTCCCTCATTTTCCTGTTGGAAGTTTGAAAGAGCTCAAGATCACATAGAGGAGAAATATCTGAGCTTTGATTCTGAGGCTTGGGGTGAAATCGCAGCCCATAAGGAAGCGGTGACCTTTATGGGTGTCCAGCAAGTTGTGCATGCTCCCTAGTGCAGGACAACCAGGCATTCATGTGGCCAGCCTGTCTTTAGCTTGTCCAGTCTGGCTTCCTAGAAACTGAACACCTGAGTGCATTAATGGCAGCTGTTAGGAAGACAGCCACAGCAAGGTGGCTCTGACCTACCCTGTCTTGACCACACGTCCACATGGCTTTCTCCTGCCAGCCCTGAAAGTGGCTGAGGCAGTAGAGCACTGTGGGGAGTTGGGGCAGATTTGGATGCTTGCCCCCACATTCTTAACCATGCCTGTGTAACTTCTGCTTTCTGGGGGAGATGAAGCCAGCGGCATAGTGTTGCCAGGAGCAGAGGCTAATGGTCCTGCTCTGGCATGAGTTGAGTGTGTGGACCACTGCAGAGACCTGAGCACAGGATGGGCTTTGTTCTTATTCAGAGAGGAGGACCTCTTGGTGGACAGCGGTGGGATCAGAGGAGGTCCGTCTGGGCAGCGGCACACCATGCTGCCCAAGCCGGGCTCTGGTATGCGGTGTGCATGGAGAAGTGGGGATCTTGGCCGCTCACTCAGGTCAGGGTTAGGATAAAAGCCCTTGATAGGTGTGCCTCAGCTTCACTGTGCTGAGACCGAGTCTTGAGTACCAAAAAGAAGATCCATACCTAGATGCTGGAATTGTACAGCGTCAGCCATGATTTTTTGGAGGAATATAGTCACAGATAAACAGATATAAATATATACATATGTATGTGTGTGCATGTATGTGTGCATACACACATTATTTTTATTTCTTCCTGAGATGAATGCAGGGCCTTGTACATGCTAGATAAGTAAGCATTCCACTACTGAGCTACACTCTAGCCCTAAGGAAAGCTAATTTTAATCACTATTACTGATGGCAGGAGGTGGGAGTTTTAGACTTTTTTTTCTCTTAGCAACTTGGTGTTTTCCCTTAGTAACCCCCCTTACCACTGCTTAGAAACCTCTTTTCCTCTTCCTAGATCCCTAAGGATGAGCATATTCTTCGGTTCCTACGTGCTCGAGATTTTAATATCGACAAAGCCAGAGAGATCATGTGCCAGTCCCTAACGTGGCGGAAGCAGCATCAGGTAGACTACATCCTAGACACCTGGACCCCACCCCAGGTCCTTCAGGACTACTACGCGGGAGGCTGGCACCACCATGACAAAGGTAGTGTGCTCCTGACACCCCTCCAGCCTCCTGTACCTAAGCATCTGAGGCCCCTGCTCTGGTTAGGCGGGCCCCTCTCGGTCTGACCAGCATGGACAGCTGGGGAGACAGGCCCTCCACAGGCGCTTGTGCCAGCCTGGACAGCCCAGAAGGGGCCTGAACCCTTTGATTTCTCCTTGTGACTCGGTCACCATGGCTTACTTTTCTTAGGTGAAGTCTAGTATGGCTTTTAAAAAACTGAATGTTGCCAGGCACTCGTGGCTCACACCTGTAATCCTAGATACTCAGGAGGCCGAGATCTGAGGATCTTGGTTCAAAGCCAGCCCCCGCAAGGAAGTCCATGAGACTCTTACCTCCAATAAACCACTAGAAAACCGGAAGTGATATGTGGCTCAAGTAGTAGAGTTCTAGCCTTGAGCAGAAGAGCTCAGGGACAGTGCCAAGACTCCCAGAACTCAAGCCCCAGGACTAACACACACATATACCATCACCACCATCCCTACCCCTTCCCCCCCTCCCCCCCCCCCCCCCCCCCGAATGTTTGGTTCTGAAGCTTCTCAGTAAAAGAACTTCAGTGACTTAGACTCTTGTAGCTAGAAAATGTCCAGCCAGGTTTTCTACCTCAAAACAATGGAGAACTTGAGTAAACAAAAGGTAGATCCTGGCATACCTCCCTGAAGTGAAGCTCTACCCAGGCCTTCCAGAAAAATCTGCCTTGTCAAGGGCTGTCCCTGCTGTTCCTGGAGAGGAGACAGGATCTCCTCGAAACCTGCTCTTCCACCTTTGAACGAGTTTTTCCAAGCCTGGCTGAGCCCATCCATCTTGTTCTCTTCAGTTAATCGCTTGTACCTCTCCAGATCAATTGCAACTTTATTTAGTTCTTGAAAATGATGTGTATTGGCCAGGTACCAGGGGTTTATGCCTGTAATCCTAGCTATTCAGGGCTGAAATCTGGAGGATCAGGGCTCAAAGCAGAGAAGTTCATGAATCTTTATCTCCAAAATAACCAGCAAGAAGCAAGGCTAGAGGCTAGAGGCATGGCTGAACAAACACAAGGCCCTCCTATTATCAGGAAAGGAAGGAAGGGAGGGAGAGAGAGAGAGAGAGAGATGTATTGAGTGTTAGTGTGATTTTTGTTTTGTTTTTGTTTGAGGTAGGGTGTGTGTAGCCCTGGCGGGCCTCAGACCTTGATGCTCCGCCATTTTTCTATTTATTCTACTTTGTGACCCAACTGGTGGAGGGGAAGAAAGGTTGCTAGTAAGTTATTGACAAACGTGTTCTATTAAATATCAAAGGAAACTTACATGAATTGACATTTCTACAGAATTCCAAGTGACATTTTGCTTTATGCAGCTAGCTGTAGGTCAGATCCTCAGGTAGCATTCTCAGGTGCCAGCGCCCTGCTGGCTGATTCTGTTTGTCTGCCATTAGCAGCACACCAGGCCTGGTTTGTGTTTTGGAGCTGGCCCCGCCCATCTCTGCTTCTGTCTGGCCCGGAGCGACAGGGCTCAGGATGTGCTGAGCGCAGGGTGCACCCTGGCCGCTGAGGTCTTCTCAGAGTCACCTCCATGATGGTCCTGTGAGGCGCCATTCGCTAGACTGCCCTGCCAGCAAGACACGACCCACATGTGCGGCTGGTGCTGTGGCTCCTGCTCAGCCTACCCCAGGGCCCCACTCGGCTGCTCAGCAGTCGCCTCCTTTTTTTTTTAATGCCTTTTTTGAAAATGCCATAACCTCACCACATGTTCACGGGCATGTTTGCTTGGATGATGCTGGGATGGAGCTAGGGCCTTGCCTGGCACTTCTAAGATGCACCCTGGGCCACTGTACAAGGACTTGAAAGTGTGTCCTCTGCCTCACAGCAGGGACAGGGCCATGTCCTGATCGCTTTCCTCCCTCCTGCAGACGGGCGGCCTCTCTATGTTCTCAGGCTGGGGCAGATGGACACCAAAGGCTTGGTGCGAGCCCTCGGAGAGGAAGCCCTGCTGCGATACGTAAGTGCTTGGCTGCACGCTCTCTCGCTCGCTCCTCTGGCCGCTGGGATAAGCATGCTTCACTTGCGCTTAGAGAGGAAATGTAGCCCTGTGTGTAAGAAGTTCTGAGCGGCACTCCATCGGCTCCCCGCCGCCCTGCTGCAGCTCTGCCCTGGCACCTCTTCCTGCAGCCCATCCTGACCACGCCCCCTCCTCTAGTCCCAGCCTTCGCTTTCCAGACAAACAAAACCCTAAAGATGCATCTGAAGTCCACCACCCTCACATACACTTTGTTGTGTACCGTAAGGGGCTCCCAGCAGTGTGTATTTCCATGTCTGTGTGCACACGTGCGGGCTATGGCTGCTGCTCTCCTGATCTGCCCTGGTAGCTGCTATGAGGCTGCCCTCCTGCAGGCATCGGAACGGCGTGCCCACGCCCCCCCTCCCCCGCACGTGCAGTCCCTGCTCACCCGTGACTCGACATAGCCCCTTTGCCATGGCACCGTCTCCTGTGCTGGAGAGGGGTAGGCGTGCGGGCATGTCAGGAGACGGAGCGGATGCTGCTCTGCGAGCCTTGCCTGTGGCGGGCTCTGCTCACGGTCCTCCGTGGAGCCGACTCCTCCTGGCCGTTGGTGCGGCCTTCTGTGCACAGGTTCTCTCCATAAACGAAGAAGGTCTGAGGCGATGTGAAGAAAATACCAAAGTCTTTGGACGACCTATCAGGTGGGTGGAAGGTTGTATTTTTCCTTTCATCTTACAGAAGCTGAATTCAGTCTTTCTAGTTGGTACCTGGTCTTTTGCTATTCCAAGGTGTTCTAGAAGGTGACTAGAGAAGCTGGCACAGGGGAGCTGCTGGGTGTCAGCGTTCTCGTCCCCCGAAGTGGCAGTCGCTGGTGGCTGCCGCGAGCCCAGGTCTACAGGGGTTTGCAGGTTGCTGTCTGCGTCCTGTGCCTTGCTTCTGGCTGCGACAGGCGGTCTGAGAGTGGCAGTGATTGGTGTCAGGCACCGGTGGGAGGGTCAGAGTCCTCAGCTCCTCACCCAGTGCTCCACCCAGGAAGATGTGTGAGCACTTACTGCACTTCACACCTGGTGTGTACCAGGGACAGCGCATTGTGCCTGCTGGTCACGGAGTGGTCTCGAGGGCTTTTCTCCAGTACTGTAGCTTAGGGTGAGCTTACGTGTGTCATAAAGTGTCGAAATGAGAGCTCATCGCTGGCCTTTGAAAAACCAGTATTTACTCAGAAAGGACTGTAAATGACTTGTGTGGCAGGAGAAAGACATGAGGCGTGGGACACAGCTGGCCACATGCTGCCTGCTGAGTGGGGCCGGCTCTGCTCTTCCCACAGCTCGTGGACCTGCCTGGTGGACCTGGAAGGGCTGAACATGCGCCACCTGTGGAGGCCAGGGGTCAAAGCCCTGCTGCGGATCATCGAGGTGGTAGAGGCCAACTACCCCGAGACGCTGGGCCGCCTCCTCATCCTCCGCGCCCCCAGGGTCTTCCCAGTCCTCTGGACACTGGTGGGTTTGGGTATTTGCTGCCACAGGGTGCCATTGGGAATGTAGATCGGAGCGTCCTCGCGCCCCGCAGAGCAGGTGCACCCCAGCAAGGCCCTGGCGAGGCCACGTCCGTAACCGTCACCTCGGAGAACCAAACCACGCACTCTTTTTGGATTGCTACAGGTTAGTCCGTTCATAGATGACAACACCCGAAGGAAATTCCTCATTTATGCGGGCAATGACTACCAGGGTCCTGGAGGCCTGCTGGATTACATCGATAAAGAGATCATTCCAGACTTCCTGAGTGGGGAGTGCATGGTATGTATCGGGGCAGGGAGTCGCCCCTGTTTGTGCAGTGGGAAAGGTCTGTGTTGGCTTGCACAGTGATTTTCAGAATGGGTGGTTATTTGGTGTTTCGTCGTTGATTTAGGTCATTGTGGACATGGCACATTGCTTAGTGTTAAGTGCTGATGAGAATTTGCTTTAGAACCAGATACAGATGTGACTTGCTTTATCTGCATGCCTGAATGAATGAGAGGCTATGAACTCGGGGTCTCACACCTCCCCCCGCCCCTTGCTAGTTAAGTGCTCTTACCACCTTTTGCTTTAGGTAGGTTCTCCTGTGTATTTTTACCTGGAGCAAGCCTGAGACCTTGATTTTCCTACCTATGGGCAATTGAGAGAACCACCACACCTGATCTGTTTGTTGAACTGGGGTCTTGCTATCCTTTTTTTTTTTTTTTTTGGAAGGAGAGGCTTGCCCCAAATTACCGTCCTCTAGATCTCATATCTCCTGAGTAGCTAGGATTATAGGTGTGAGCTCACACCCAGTGTTAGTGTGTGTGTGTGTGTGTGTGTGTGTGTGTTTTAATTAGGAGTATTTAACATAAGGAGGTAGAAGAGGTCTCTGTGATTTGCTCCATTGCAAACAGTGGCCTGTGAAGCAGCAGGAAATGAGGGGGCCTCCTTCCCACGGCACTTGACAGGCAGGTGCTCTGGCACTTGAGCCGCAGCGCCACTTCCGGCTTTTTTCTTTTTGCTTATGTGGTGCCTCATTCATGCAAGGCAAGCACTCTACCACTGAGCCACCTTCCCAGCCCCAAAATCTGAGCTTCTTAGGAGCATGTACAATAAAGTCTGAGATTTATCTCCAACTAACCACCAAAAAGAGCCGGAGGTGGAGCAGTGGCTCAAGAAGTAGAGCTCTAGCCTTGAACAAGAAGAGTTCAGGGACAGTGCCCAGGCCCTGAGTTTAAGCCCCAAGATTGGCAGAAAAACAAAATTGAGCATTGAATCCTCTCTCAAAAGGATTTGTCCCGTGATGATAAATCCCTGAGGAGCGGGGCTGGAGCGGGGCTCGGTGCCTCAGTGTCGGGAGGTTTAGCCTAGTCAAGCCATCTCAACTGTGTTTTACTTTGTGGTCCGCTGCTTTCCTAGAGGGCATTTGACCTGGGTCAGGCAGTTCTCTGGGGCCACATTCTGTGAACTCTGCACGGCTGTAGGGCTTGCTCTGTGGCTGTCTCCAGAGCAGAGAATACAGGGACTTGGGCTTTTATGAGCTTGAGTATGTAGTCATTGTATCAAGGTCATTAGAAAATTTACAGTACATACAAATTCTGATTCTACTTAGCCTGTTCCAAACAAGTGACAGGAAGTTTTATGTGTTAGAGCTTGGGGCCTGCGCTGCTGGTCAGGCGCTGTGCCACTGTGTGGTGTCTCAGGCCTGGCTGTGATTTCACAGGGGAATGATGCCTAGCTGTTGGGAATAAAATGCGTCTCCTGACATAATGCTCTTCCGTTACAGAGCAATATAAATTCTTTCAATTCTTACACAAACCATCCTTACTAATTCAGCCCAGTGCCTCATATACATTAGTGAGAAGCTTGTGGTAAACCAGCTTCAACTTGTCCTGATTATTCAAAGGAAAACATGTATTGAAGTGGTTTTAAAAACATTTCGCTAAGTAGTTCAGAGTACCTGATGCCTGGCCAGCGTGCGCCTTTGCTCTGCGGCTGTGAGGGTTCCATCCGCCAGGCTCTCCCTGTGTCTCTGTTTCCAGTGTGAAGTGCCAGAGGGTGGACTGGTCCCCAAGTCTCTGTACAGGACCGCAGAGGAGCTGGAGAACGAGGACCTGAAGCTCTGGACGGAGACCATCTACCAGTCTGCAAGCGTGTTCAAAGGAGCCCCACACGAGGTACCTGCGGAGGGGCCCCAGCTTGCAGCAGCGGGGCGGGCCACCCGTGGCTCTGGCCTTAGTCCATAGGGCAGTAACATACAGGGTATTGAATGTGGCCTCCTGCGAATGTGGAGGACCGCGCCCTGGAATACAGCATGGCAGTGCGGTCAGAGGCCTAGGAGGACACTCGCCCCTCACTTCCTCTTCACTGGAGATACTTGAGGATATGAAGAGCTAGTGTGTGTGTGTGTGTGTGTGTGTGTGCGCGCGCGTGTGTGAATGTGGGAGTGAGTGTGTATGTGTGGGAGTGTATGTGAGGTTATGTGTGTGTATCTGTTGGTGGAGTAGGGGGGTGTCAAGCCCTGAGTGTGGTTTATTTAGGGTTATAGAGAACAGCTTCGCAGGCTGATTTTTTTTCTTGACGAGGTTGGTTATTGTGAAGTTAGGGCCACGTGGTGCAGAAGCAGGCGTGTCCTGCTTGGCGTCTGCCACACATCTGTCCTGGAGCCTGGCCAGCGTCTGCGCACGCTGACTGCCCTGTGCTTGGCTCCAGGCATACGTGGCCCAGCATTGCTGGCAGGATGGTGCCTTCCGTGCAGAGCGGGTGACAGCGCAGGGTCACTTCGGGCAGCAGGGGAGGGAAAAGCTCCAGTTCGTGGTCTGCAGGCAGCTGTCCACCCTGCCTTTGTTCTAGGAGCTTAGGGCCTGGTGATCTCTGTGGGTCACGCCAGCTCTGCCTCAGGAATCAAGGGAAAGGGCCTGTCCCGGGTCATCCTCCAGCTCCGTGAGGGCCAGCGGAGGGTCCATGGTGCCTTCAGAGAGGAGAGAGCTTGGCCACGGCAGGACACAGGCCTCAGCACAGACAGATCTGCCCTTGACAACCACTGCTGTGCCACTCATGCCTCCTGCTGTGCTTAATGTGCTAGCTGGGGAGATGCGGAGGTGGCCCGTGCTGTGGTACTGTGGCTGGGGTGGAGCTGAAGGAGGTGATGGGTAGCCGGCCCCCCAGAGCCCCTTGGGGAGCAGCTGAGGCGTAGTGACTGCAAGGGCCTCCTCCAGCTAGTTTTTCCCTCTCAGTCCCCTTGACTGGTCTTTGGAGTCTGAGACTTTGACCATCTTCCTTCCAGGAAGCTCCCTCGGGGCTCAGCACCCAGGGCAGCCACCCACCCCATGGGCTTCTCCCACCCCCACTCCCCTGGCCTGGGTCTCCACTTGCTATTTACCTAGCTTCCCCTCCTGGGCCCAAGCAGCCCACCACACTCCACGGCCAGTCTCACAGGGTTTGAAATGCCTGGACAGACGATGGTTTTGAATGCTGTAAGCATGGTAGAGTGGGAATCTTTTCCCCAAAAGCAGGGAGCTCACCCAGCTCACCTTGCCTCCTAGCAGGAACTGTTGGTTGACGGAGGATTATGGGCACTGGCTGATGACCCCGCCCCCTTCGCAGCGCATGGGTGGGCCACAGACCCCCCCAACAGGGCTTGTTAATGTCTAGCACTGGCCTGGGCTTCGGAGTGCGGGTTGGTGGGCTGATAAGGTCTCTTTTTCCAGATCCTCATTCAGATTGTGGATGCCTCCTCAGTGATCACTTGGGATTTTGACGTATGCAAAGGGGACATTGTCTTTAATATCTATCACTCCAAGAGGGCGCCACAGCCTCCCAAAAAGGATTCCCTGGGGGCCCACAGCATCACTTCTCCAGGCGGGAACAACGTGCAGCTCATAGACAAAGTCTGGCAACTGGGCCGAGACTACAGCATGGTGGAGTCGCCTCTGATCTGCAAAGAAGGAGAAAGCGTGCAGGTAATTACACGCCTGGGATTCTGGGCACTACGGCCAGTGCAGGGTGTAGACAGGCCTGCTTCTTACAATCAAAGTCTTAGGGGAAAAGGAGTCTACCGAGAGGCCTGGGACCAGGATGCACCTAGTGAAAGGTTGGAGACTGAGCCTAGAGCTCACCTGAAGTGCATGCGTTTTCCCAGAAGCCTCAGCAGAGCACTGTGTCAGCAGAAGGAGGGGGCTGCAGGCGTGCGGAGGGCTGGCTCTCGGCTGTGTGTCCATGTGTCCTCAGAGGAGCTGCTGACTATGTCAAGGTGCACCGGGGCACCACGCCACTCCGGTGCTGCCTCCTGCTCATCGGATGCGGATGGGTGGCTGGCTGGCTGCCATCTCTGGCCTGCACAGCACACACGCAGTTTTGCTCTTAGGGCTCTCCAGAACAAGTCTGGCTGTTTTAGTGGTCCAAGAGGCAGACAGAAAGGAAATGTTTTCATCCCACTTCACAATTAGAGACTGTTTTAAGCCATCTCAGTCTTGAAGCCAGAATTATGGGGAAAGTTGTCTACAGGATCAACATCCCTTTGGCCAGGGCTCTAAGAGGAGGTGACTAGCAGTGTGGTGGAGAATGTGGAACCTGGCCTGCTGACCTGAACGGCCCCTTCCTGCCACACACCTGCTACCTCGTGGCCTTTATCCCTGGGAGAGTGGCTTATAAGGCTGAAGGTTTTGTTTTGTTTTTGTGCCAGTCTTGGGGCTTGATTGAACTCAGGGCTGGGCACTGTCCATGAGCTTTCTTGAGCAAGGTTAGTGCTCTCCCACTTGATTCACAGCTCCACTTCTATCTTTGTTTGTTTGGACTGGCTTTGAACCGTGATCCTCTCAGATCTTAGTGTCCAGAATAGCTAGTATTACAGGTGTGAGCCACTGGTGGGTGCCCAGCTGAGGCTGAAGGTTCTTAAGAGTGACAGATACCGGGGTGTCCCCGTGCCCTTCATAGGACATACCCTCAGTAAACGGCATGATGTCAGTGTCTCACCAACAATGAGCCATCCTTAATCCCATCAAGATGGTCAGAAGTCACTGCCATGTTACGCCCAGGGACACCACGTGGCCCTTTGTCAGCTCTACGGCCTTCCTTGTTCCAGGGCTCCCATGTGACCAGGTGGCCGGGCTTCTACATCCTGCAGTGGCGGTTCCATGGCACGCCGGCCTGCGCCGCCACCAACCTGCCCCGGGTGGATGACGTGCTGGCCTCTCTGCAGGTCTCCTCTCACAAGTGCAAAGTCATGTACTACACGGAGGTCATCGGCTCCGAGGACTTCAGGTGCGCCTGGGGTGTGACTCCAGGCCTCAGGTGGTGGGGGGCACTTGGGGAGCTCCTTCGCTGGCTGTGACTCTGCGGGGCGCAGTGCCCGGGGGAGGCGGGTTCACCTCTCCAGTCTCCAAGTCCTGAGGTGCTGCTGAGGCAGTGTGGGCAGGTGGGAGGCTCCAGGCTGGGCCTCAACACCTCGTCCCCTCCCTGTGCCGTCTGCAGAGGCTCAATGACCAGTCTGGAGTCCAGCCACAGCGGGTTCTCCCAGCTGAGCGCCGCCACCACCTCCTCCAGCCAGTCGCACTCCAGCTCCATGATTTCCAGGTAGTGCTGCGAAGCCTGGGCCTGTGCGCAGAGGGGACAGCCGCGCCTCCGCCACCGCCCGCCCGCCAGCCGCGCTCCTCCCTGGCCACCTTGTGCACACTCCTCCCCCTCTAGATAGCCGTAGTGCTCCTGATGTAAACGTAGTTACTGACCCAACTGTCTCCACAGGTGGTTTTCATCTCACCCCGACTAACTCGATAGCCATAGATTTTGTATGCAGCGCGCACAAAATCAACACAGAGCACAAGGGCTCTCTTGGAAGAAAAGTAGTTTCTAAACCAGTTAGGTTCACTTTGTCTCAGATGTTGATGCAAAAAATTTTTCAACCAGCTGCACCTTGTCCACTAGTGGGTGACTTCCTGAGCGCTCAAGGAGGAGCGGTGTGGCTACCCCGCCCCGCCCCCCGCAGGCAGCTCCACCGCAGCCCTCAGGGAGCACTCTCCCCGTTCTTAGGGGGCGCTGGTGGTTCCGGAGGGGCTCGGGACGTCACCACTCCGGGAAACGCCGCCATCATTAAACATTACTTCCTCCTTCCTCCTTTCCAAGTCTTCTGATAGTTGTCAGAGCAGGCCTGTCTGTCCTGGGCTGGGGTGGGGACTTGGTCCCTCCTCTCCTGAGGTTTCCTCCCGCCCACAGACAGCTATGCACACGCCCTGGCTCTTGCTCGCTGCGCTCGGCTCCCTGCGGGCCCCGTGGAACTGGCGTGTCGCACTTGCAGGTCTGCCAGCCAGCAGCCTGGAGCCTCGCGCCAGCCCTGGTCTTGGTCAGCGGACGTGGTGGACGTGTGTGTGGGGAAGGGGGGTGCCTGTAGCCGTGGGGTGCTGGGAGGGGAGCAGTAGAAATGAAGTCTCCGCGGAGGCAGCCGCAAAGACTGCTGCTCGGTACACCCTCATTTTAGGGGAAAAGCAGAGTATCTGCAAACCCACCTAGGAGTTGCCCATAACTGCTCTCTATGATAAAAGCATGCCATGTGTGGTTTTGTGTGTGGTAGGGACTCGTAGAGGTGTGTGGCAAGTCCCATGTGTGTGTGTGTGTGTGCGCGCGCGCACGCGGGCCCGGGCATGGGCATGGGAAGTGTGGAGGCACTGTGTCCCACCGGGAGAAGCTGAGCAGCCCTCACCTGGTGGGGGCCCCCCTGCCTGCCTGCCTGCCTGCCTGCCTGCCTGCCTGGTCTGACTGCATTTCCTTTGAGGGGCGAACCCCACAGGCACAAGGCCTTGTTTCCAGAAAGTACTGAGGGTACTTAACATCTCACCGCTGCTTCCAGTCAGGGCTTCTGACTCCCAGTTCTCAGGACCTGAAGGTGGCCCCTGCTCTCTCTCTCTCTCTTTCTCTCTCTTTCTCTGTTTCTCTCTGTCTTTCTCTGTGTCTCAGATGGCGATTTTGCTGACAACTTCCAAGAAAATGCTCCACTCCACATGTGCCCAGAGATGTTTCTAGAACTATGTGAATTGCAGCCATGTCCCCACCCCCAGACTGAAGATCTGTCCTTTTTAAGTTGATTCCGAAGTGGCACTGTTCTAGTCCCAAAGAGCTGGGCCCGTCTGAGAGTTGAAAGCACTTGACTGCTATTTATGGCCTCCAGGGTTCTCCCGAGTGCTGCCCGCCCCCCCCCCCCCCCTCCGGCCACCCTGGCTGCCGTCCTCCCAGGAGGGGCCCATGGCCTGCTGGGATGTCACCTAGCCTGCGCGGCCTGCTGGGATGTCACCTAGCCTGCGCGCCGCCCCTTCTCAGTACTAATGATTCTGGGCTTCTCCCTCACGACCAGAGTCTTCACTCACTTCCTCCCTCAGCTCATTGTTTGCATATCAAATTCTGTAAATGTTTTGTAAACATATTACCTCACTCTTGGTAATACAATGCGGATAGTCTTTAAAAGATTTTTTTATTGTTACAATAATAAATGTGACTGTTTAAGAAAGTGGTGTCTTTTCCTTCTTGGTCCACATCTCCCTTGAGAGGATAGAGGAGAGGCGCAGGCTTTTGAGAACAATGTCCTTCCACACGCCTGGCACTCTGTAATAACCAGGGCATCCATTTCATCTAGCGTCTTGGAAAACAAAACCTGTGGAGCCTGGTGATTCCATTTCTACCCAGGCCCCTCTCAGCGGCTGCAAGAGGGAGGAAGGACCTCACCCAGACTCCAGCTCTCTGTGCTGCCCAGGGCAGACCATAGTTACTCTTCCGCTAGGCTCTCCCTGTTTGCCCAGGGCTGGCATCTGATTACCATCCTCCAAAATGGACTGGGGCCAGGGAGCAGGGGTGAGCGCAGCTGGGGTACGGGGCTGCACCAGAAGTAATGAATGAGCTGGGTTAAGCTCGACTACAGAAGGACCTCAGGAAGTTAGAGACTCATTCTTGAGCCTGCTTCATTGGAAGGTTTCGAAATAGATTGAAAGGCAGAGTGAGGTGGCACACGCCTGTATTCCCAGCACCGGGGATGCTGAGGCTGGGGCCGATCCTGAGTGGAGGCCAGCCTAGGCTGCCTAGACCTTGTATTGGGAATAATTACATCCATCCGAGGGTCAGAAAAGATCCAAGTTAATCTACAAGAAGCTGAGAGACAAGGCCCCTGAAGTGAAAGGATGTCTGGCAAACAGCCCTACATTAAACATGGGATTTTAAACATGAGCTAAAGGACATGAAACAAACAGGAAAGAAGGATGAGCTGTTGGATTTCATGTTTAGGAAAAGCACTAAGTGAGAAGGAAGAAAACAAATGAGCTGAGACTCAAAAATTAGAAATGAACCAGAAAGTCACTTCAGGGATTGAGATGAAAAAAGTGACAACAGAAGGTGGTGAACGTGAGCAAGGACCACGCAATCGGGAAACAGCTCAGTGAATGTGCTGGATGTTTTTATGAAAGAAAATCCATGGATCCTGGGGCCAGTGGCTCATACCCGTAATCCTAGCTACTTGCAAGGCTGAATCTGAGGATCCCAATTCAAAGGCAGCCCAGACAGACAAATCGGAGAGACTTACCCTCAAATAACCAGCAAAATCCCAGAAGTACAGCTGTGGCTTAAATAATAGAGTGCCAGTCTTGAGCAAAAAGCCAGGCACGTGTATAAAGCCTTGAGTTCAAGCCCTAGGACCAGAATAAATAAAAATGAAGGAAAAAACAAAAACCCTTGGGTCATCGACAGAGAAACAGTGAGACTTAGGAGGATTGGGCTCAGACCAGATGAAGTTGAAGTAATTAAGATTTAGCCAGTTGACAGTGGCTCACACCTGTAATCCTAGCTACTCAGGAGGCTGAGTTCTGAGGATCATGGTTCAAAACCAGCCCTGGCAGGAAAGGCTGTGAGACTCAAATCTCCAATAGTGTACCAGAAAACCGGAAGTGGTGCTGTGGCTCAGGTGGTAGAGCACTCACCTTGAGCTGAAGAGCTGAGAGACAGCGCCCAGGCCCAGAGTTCAAGCCCCATGACCGACCAAAAAAGATTTCTTCAAGGCAGGAAAGGACACTGGTGAGGTTTTCATTGTGCCATGATCGGGCAAGTGATGGCAGATGGAGATGCACTGAGAGATACCCACTGGGACACCCAGGCCTGGAGGACGAAGACCAGAAATGGAAGGGGACACACAGCCAGGCATGGTCATGTCCCATGCTGCTCTGCACCATGGGGAACGGATGGGAGCATCAGTAACTACTAGGCAGCATTCACCTTGTTGTCCTGAGAATGTTGCTATGGTAATGTGATAAAAAAAGCACATCTGAGATAATCAAATTCTAGCCTTCCCTCCTCCCCCCTCCCCCCCCCCCCCCCCCCCCGCCTGTCCTGTGTGGACACAGCCAGGAGGAGGTTAACCAGGAGCAACCTGATCTCAACTTTTTATTTTAGGTTTGAGACCAGGACTTGAACTCAGTACCTGACACTTTCACTCATTGGCTGGCATTCTACTGACTGAACCACATTCTCCCCCCCCCCCATCTCAACTTTGATTTGGAAGACTAACTTTGAAGCCATGAGCTGTGGAGGTCTCTGCCTCCACATTTAATTAGGGAGGTCCTGGCATGGCCCAAGTGGTAGAGGGCTTGCCTGGAAGCAACCCCAGCACCACCCCCAAAAAACACAAATGGACAAGACTGAACTTAGGAGTTGCACATTTGGGCAATAAAACCAGCTTTAAAACAAGGAAGCGTTCTGGTGATTCATTGGAGAAAAAAGTCTCACAAACTTTCCCACCCAGGCCGGCTTTGAACTGTGATTCTCAGATCTCAACCTCCTGGGTAGGAAAACAGGCATGAACCACCAGCTCCCAGTTTTCTATATCTTTACGTTACAATAAAAAGGTTTGTGATTGTTCAGGGGGTTTGTGTATGTTTAGTTAAGGATTTAAATGCCTTAAAGGACGGTAATGCCTGCTCTTTATCTGGAAATGCAGGTTTTCTTCCCTCCAAACCCCAAACGCAGGTGCCTTGGGCAGGGCTGGCCTGCAGGAGCTGCTGGTGAGTGCCCCCGGGGGCTGTGGCAGAGCGCAGGGTGGAGATGCAGCCAGGCTCTGGGCCATCCCTGTGCTCATCTCATTCCCAGGAGGGAATTGGCCCGCCCTTCCGGGACTGCCTGACCCCACCCAGAAGTCCTGTACCCTAACCCACCCCATCTTGAGCCTTTGGGCTCCACAACCAGTCACCCAAGGGCAGTTTGACAGAGACAGAGGAACAGGAGCTATCACCACGTTTGTGTACCAGCCACTGTGTGTCCATGTCAAGTCAGAGATGGGGGATGGGGAGCAGAGTGGGGCAGAGGCTGGCGTGAGGACCAGCCAGTGACTGCAGGGGACAGAAGGCCCGTCCTGACCCCAGCTTCCTTCCCAGAGTCTCCAGTTTCCACCAAGGGTGTGTTTAGTTCAGACTACAAAGTTACCCAGCCTGGCTGCCCGGCTCTACCTCTGACCTTTGAGAGGCACCTGTGACCAGTGGTCTCCTAATGCTACAGCAAGGCCAGAACCAAAGGTCAGCCTGACAGAGCTGTGAGAGGTGGTCCTGGCCAGGAGGCCTTCGCCCCAGTGCTGGCTCACGCCTCCTGACACCAGGCCAAGGCTCTTGGTGCTAGAGGATGGCAAGGTCCTTGTTTCTTCAGCACTGGGCTTGGAGTAGAGCTGTGGGGAGAATGTTCCAGCCCTCATGCCTACCCAGGTCAGCTGAGCAGGGCTTGGATTTGATGTGTCCACGTGACAGCCACAGCGTTGTTCCCAGATATTTGTTCAAACACTGTGTGGCAGTTTGGGTCTGAATGAACTCTTGAAGGCCCAGGAGCTAAAGGCTTGGCCCCAGGGTTGTGCTAGTGGGAGTAGGGCTAGCGGGAGGTCTTTAGGTCATTGGGAGCCTGAGGGATTAAGGGGGTTCATGGTGGCCGCCTCTTCTCTGCTGCTGCCCAGCTGTCAAGGGGTAGATTTGTATTCTTCGTCTCTATGACCACAGGCCAGTGGCAGCAGGGACCCTCATTATAGGCTGGAACTCCCAAGGTTGAACCAAAGGACGTCTTCCTCTCTGTAAGTTGATTCTTATCGGGAATCTCAGCTCTCACATCCAGTGCTTCCAAAGATGCTTCTGGATGAGTTCAACCCTTAAATCAGCAGATGGAGTAACGCAGGGCCCTCCCTGGTGTGGGGGCCTCCATTCATACAACAAAGAGACCTTTCCTAGAGAAAGAGGAATCCCCTGCCTGTGTCGCCTTCAAACCAGAATGCTGCATTTGTCCTGTCTGGGGCCTTGAACCTTTGGCCTGAAGCCTGCTAGCTCTCCTGGGTCTCCAGCAGACCTACTGCAGAACTTGGGACTTGTCAGCCTCTGCACGAGCCAATTCCTCACAATAAGGCCGCTATCTCCCTCTCTCCTGGCCTCCCTCCCTCTCCCCAACCCTCCCCCTTTCCCTCCATGTCTGTCAGTCATGAACCACATGTGGATGTGGGCCCATAGGATCGTAATGGCCCTCGGTCCCATCTCTGGCAGCAGAGAGGAGCTGCTTTCACCATCTGTAGTATCTATCTTAACCACCTCAATACAGAGCATCTCACGCCCGTGCCCGCTGAGGTGGGCATACAGCACTGCCCACGGGGTGGCCTGAGAGTCTGTGGCTCCTGCAGTGCAATAGGCGATCACGTAGTAAAAGAGTATGTTGCCAGTTTATGTATTTACTGAACCTTAAAGGTAGAAGCATTTGCTGTAACATGATGGTCATGTTTCACCATCAGAACCAGCATCGAAAGGCCACATGGAGGGACCAACCTCTGTCTGGACTGACCTCTTTTGTCCAAGTTTGTGTGTGTGTGTGTGTGTGTGTGTGTGTGTGTGTACATGTGCATGCATGTAAGTTACACTGGTGTTTGCATGACCATATCACATTATAAAACATTTCAGCTGAACTCCAAAGCAAAGGATGGCTGTGTGTGTGTGTGTGTGTGTGCGCGCGCTCCAAAATCATGTACTTGCAAAACCTTTGACTTTTCCAAAAACCAACCTACTTCATCTGAGACCCTGTCCTCAGCATGTTGTGGTGTGTTGGGGTATGGATGGCGGGTTTTTGTTGGTGGTGGTGGTTGGTTGGTCATGGGGCTTGAAATCAAGGTGAAGGTGCTGTCCCTGAGCTTTTTGCTCAAGGCTAGCA